CAAAAAAGGGAAGTAATTCTCTTACACTTCAATGTAACTGATCCAGGCTAGGAAAGAAGGCTGCTGAAACTGCCAAAAAAGGAAAGATTTGGTTTTATATTCTTATTGTGTGCTTGCTCTTCCTTAGTTGCTGTATAAAATCCAAACAGAATATATGAGGCAAAGATAGCCTGCATAGGCTGTGCAGCTGAAACTTTACCATCAAGGGGATATAAGCTCCCCATTTAGTCTAATGTCTGTTTCAACAGGACTTTATTATTATGTATGAGGATCCTGTGTATTGTAGGGGTCAAAGAGCCTGCCAAACAGGCATGGTCCTCCTCAGGTCAGCACAAGCAATCATGCTGTGCAAAGAAAAGTCCTGGCAGACTTTGTGTCAGGGCACAAAAACTGCATGCTGCTAACCAGTCCTGACTCAATAGGACCTGTAGTTCCCAGGCTTTGTCTGAGCTAGGTCTGTGTCAAAACAGAAAGTAAAGATCTGACCCTGTTTAACATGCTTTGCCAAATCAGCTGTCTCTCTCTTAAAAAGGCTAATTATTTAGTAAATCCCATTATTTTTCTCAATACACATTTTTAGGAGACATCTGCTTCTTATGTGGCATTAAAAATTGGCAGAATTTGCATAGGTGGCTAATCCATATACTAGAAACACAGGCTTGCTAATCACCTTGAAGCAAGTAGCCACCTAGGTAGAGAAGGTTTCAGAAATACTCCCTGCAAATATAAAGAGGTTCAATCTATCACTGTTGGACTAGGTGTAGGTCCCTTCCAACTGAACTATTCTAATTCTAAATCTAATTTAACTGTAGCAAGCCATCATCAGATGCAGGGTGAGCAAGAGACTAGAGCAGGACCAAAGTGATAGTGAAGGTGGCGTCGCGTAAAATGGCAACATTTGCCTGTCTAAGAGTCCCAAAGAGGACTTTCACTGAGACAGCTTTGAGAAGCTGCCATCTCAGAATGCCACCAAAATAACTTTGACTGAAGCACTTTGCCCACCTTAGAGCCTTAACAAGGACTTTCACTGAGGCAGATTACAAGCAAAGTTAAGATGATGTATTGATGCAACAGTTGTAACAAGTTCTGGATAGCCATTGATAAATTCACTAGCTGCATAGATTTGAGGTGAAGATAGTTAAGATAAAATAACAACATCAAACAGAGTCAAAAGAACAAGTCTTAACAAAAGGCAACCCCTTTTTGGGGAGAAGATTAGATTCAGACCCATCCAGATCGCTGTGAGTTCTTCCTCCAGAGAAACGGGATTCTAAGACTAATTTATACAAATTGGTGTGATAGGACTAGGTCACAAGTAGTTTTCTGACTGCTATGTTCACAGGCTCTTACTACTTATTAATTAAGGGAGGGGAGGGTAAAAGGACCAGTGTCACTCTTGATGCAGATTTCTCAGATGTGTTTCCATTGTTTTGGCTTATCACTACAGCCCCAGGCCACAGAATCTTCATCCTGTTCCAGGCAGACTGGAAGGACTGCATTCTGTTAAATGCAGTTCAATGTAACAAAAGGGTCTGTCCTGTTGTGCCCCGGATGGCCAAAACCTCTGGGTTTAATATGAAAGTTAATATGCAAGAGTCTTTATAGCAGGCAGGAGAGAAAGCATACACAGGGTGAAGATGTACCATATAAAACCCACGTAGCTCTAGTGCAGGGCTCATGGCTGAGCTGGAAAGACATATTCTAGGGACTCGATGCTATGTACTCATCCTCTGCTTACTTAAAAATATAGCCAAGATCTGAAATATAACAAGCATAACCTTAAAAATTCTTTAAAATGTTTCTCTTTTATTTTAAAATGAAACTAGAAAAATGCCACCTAATTATATTGCATTAATTTCTATTCATCACAAGCCTTAAGAAGTATAGCCAAACTCCTTGCTGGAGAGACTCCTTTTGAGAACTTGTTCTTACGATTACTCCTGCCAGCATGCCATATGGTAGATGAATATCACACTTCAAGACCTGAGTAAGTATTTCCTAGAGAGTGAAATTAAGGCATAGAGAGGTTCCTCTTGGACCCTACAGAAAAATCAGTTTCGAAGACAGAGTTAGAGCACAAGAGTTTCCAGCTCCCCTCTGTGGTGTACATCATGAGAAACTATGGTGGAAAGAAATTGGCAAAGAACAAGAAACTGCTTTCGAAGAATAATTCTTTCCTTATGTTACATAAATAAGGGTAGCAGCTCCCACATTAGTTCATGTTATAGAACAGTAGAAAAAAAACTTAGCTTCAGACTACAATTGAAATTAAGGTTTTGTTCCTGTCAGCCTTCTGTTAGAATTTGTACCTGTACTGAACAGCTTCAGGAGAGCTTTTGTGATTTATGTTTTCAAAAAGAATAATTCCAGAAAGCTCTCAAGGTTTACTATTTCTTTAAATAGTGAATTAGCCTCTTTAATTCAAGTGTCTGCTGATATAATAATTTTTTTACACATCTTTTAGGTTTAGAGTTCTCATTCTTTGTATGATTCTCCTGTGCTGATTATCTACCTGTTGCTGATGTCTTACGGGAGAAAACAGAGGCATTAGACAAACCACAGAGATGTGAGCCTGACTGAGCCTGGCAGTGGCTGAACTCAGAGATAGGCTCTGCAGGGGACAGGAATTCCCACTTCCCAACCTTCAGTGATCACGCAGAGACACCTGGGCATCTATGCCACAGGCTCCAAAATTCATGGAGATTAGGGACAAACCTGTCATGTATGTGCTGAGTGCTGCAATGATCTCATGTAACAGAATTGATTCTGCCCAGTAAAGGAGACTTTGAATATTTTCAAGTTCTGTCCATACTTTGCAGGTTTCCAGCCTCCTGCTCCAGAGCTATGGCTTCTGTTAACTCTAAGGCTTCGTTCCTGACTCACTCTAGTTCTTAGATGCAGCCATGCCAAACTCCCACTCACACATTACAGCCATTTACCAAATGCTTAGAACCATTAACAGGAATACATGAAAACACCATACCCATACAGACAAACACATAAACCCACATGGAAGCTACACTTGGGAACAGCTGTGAAATCCATGCTGCAAAAGAAAATTTGAAATGTATTATTTTCTCATACAGAGGTTTTTGCATCATATTACATAAAAGTTAGATTTTCTACATTTGATTTTTTAATGGCTTTTAAAATCAAGACCAGAACTCCAGATCTATTCACTGTACAGGGCAATTTTTCTTAGATTTTGAATGAAGATGTGGCAGCATGTACTGTTTAAGTATCTGATCTAGGAATTTCAGGATTTGCTGGCTATTAGATCTGGTTCTGTTTGACGCCAAGATTATGAACATCTCCTTTTTAATTATATTTTCTAAAAATGCCTCATTAATTTCTAGTTCAGTAGGAAGAGGGCAAAGCACACATCCACCTAAGCAGAGGACAACTCTGCTCATGGCAAATCTGGAATCCAATGGTTTGCGTGCTACCTCTTCTCCCCATTTTGCTTGCACCACTTTCCCAATACATGGCAACTTCTACATACTTCAGGGACATTAATTAACTAATTTCACTCCTATGAAGAAGCTGCTAATTGCTGTTATGCTCTTTTTACAGCTGAGTTCACTGAAGCCCTGCAGGAAAAGTGATTTCCTCAACTTTCCCTGCAGAGTGATAGTGCCAGGGATTGAGCCCACCCTGAGAGCTATTGCCCACTGGTAATCCCTGCTGAAGCAGTTAAGCATAAAAAATGCTCATTACTTTTCAGGATATTTTTCAACACGAGGAAGGATCAGGCCCAAGTGAGTCCAAGAAAAACAGTCAACTGAAGCTCCAGAAGATCCCACCTGGAGTCAGATGCCTTCTCCAGTTGCACTCAGCTCCTGTTGCATGCAAAATTGATAATGACATAACTAATAACTAATTACAGTGGAGGAAAGGAAAAAATCGTGCAGTGAATGCTAGAAGAATTCATAAAGTCAGATGGCAGTAAAATACAGTATATGAACAATATAATAGTTTAGTTCCTGGCTACCTGCTGTGCTCAAGCTAAACAAAAGACAAAGTAATATATTCAGGATGCATTTGTGAAGCAACTGTTGTCTATTATAAAATAATATTTCAACAGTTTATTTCATTAGTATCTCATTTATTCTAGTATGTTAAAAGGCTGATACGCATCTACATTGATCTTGTATCTTTGGACAAATTGCATTATAAATATTATATTGTAGAAGAAGGAAAGTTGTGAACACTGGACTGTCTCCCATCAAACTGAATTTAATCTCACAGAAATACTCTCTAATTTACAGTTAAGGCATGCTGGCAAGCAGGAGAGACAGCAATTAGGGTTAAAAGTATATATGGACCAATTTGCAGCTGTGCTATCCTAGGAGAGACCTAAAGAAGGAATGATACCTCTGAGACACTCTTTACTCTTCCCTCTCTACTGACTTACCTTCAGCTGAGAAAGGAGAGCTGCATTCCCCATCCCTGGGCAGCATGCACATGCTGCTCCACCCCTTCCTCCCTCCCTGGCATCAGCTCTGGCTGCTCCCCACTCATCCTGCCGTGATCCCCTGCTTTGGGGCACCAATGGGAAGTTTCCATGCTCCCCTCCTTCCCTTTCCAGTGGGGAAGCACTGGGTGCTAAGGGAGGCTTGTGTCCCTTATACACACACACAGTTATGTGCATTTGAACTGCTGTGTGTACATAGCAAATGAGAAATGAAAATGTATGAAAAGTAGAAGGATAAAAATACTTAGGGGGAAAAAAAATAAAAAAGAAAGAAAAAAATAGGTAATATCTTTTGGAACAATCTCTTCCATCTTTGTATATGTGATATTGAGGACAAAGATGTGGGTCTCCCACAGGGCAGTTCAGCACTCATGTAAGTCAGACCTGCCTCTTTTGCAGTGTGAAGTATTGATCAGCCAATTAAAAGCACTTTATTGCCAGTAGTGTGACTCTGTGACTAACCATATTTTTATTTTCCTTTCCTTTTAGTCTGAGCCATCACAGTGTCAGCAACAATCAGAAGAAAATGCAAACATTTGTTTCAGTAGCTTGGAGTGCATGGGGAATTTTTATATCTGAAAGGAAGCCCAGCTGGAAGTATCTGATGCAACTTTTTGCAGTTTGTTCTGCAGTTGCCTTCCTCTCAAGCTTTCTCTTATTCCTTGGCATACACTTCTCCCTGGCACACCATCCTTTGAGTCTCTTACTGATTTCTGGCTTCATCTGGATCTCTCTTTCTATCGCCCTCTGCTGTTCCAAGCACCTGCGCTGTTTTTGTGTCCTGTTTCTTCTTTCTTTCGGGCTGCAAAATGGCGGAATGCTCTTATTACTGCTGGCACAGGTGTCGTGGTGGCTGGCAACATCCAAAATATTTTCCACAACCTAAAGGTGCTGGCAGACAGTATAACTTGTCATTTAGAGTATGAGCAATTTGACTTGATTAAACATTACATTGAGGTAGTAAAATGGATTTACAAGGTAGTCAAGCTTTCCACTGAACTACCTAAAGATTTTGTGTGGCTAAAGCATGAATTTACACCATCTTATTCTATTTCAGATCATGCACTGAAACAAGAGCTAAATGACACAAAGCAAGAAATCCAGAGAGTTGCTAACCAGATATCTTTTATGCTGACTATACTGCCCTATGTTGGCCAAAAAGTATTGCCTATAGTGGGGATTTTTCTAGCTTCTTTCGGAACTGGCCACTTTATAAAAAAATTTGGGGGCTCTCACAGTGCCAAATTTAAGAATACTTATATCACAAAAAAATTCATCGCATTTGATGAGGACCAAAAGCAACAGCAGAGACCGTGTCTTCTTCCACTTAACAGAAAAGAAAGAAAAGAATATGTGACAATCCCATCTTTCTTCCTCACAAAGAAAGACAGACAAAATATGCAGTATTTTTTTCTCCCTGTAACTTTTCATCTTTCCACCTGGCTTCTATTTGCTGCAGTAGATTATTTGTTTTATTGGTTAATTACTTCTGTGAATAAATATCTTCAAGAAGTACCAGATCTGGAGATTCAACTCAGACTCTCTCAGCAAGTAAGTGCTTACCAGTATTTTTGTTTCTTAGTTTAGAGTTGAAAAATTTCTCTTCAGCAGCTTCCAAAGGCAGCAGAGCAGACAAACAGCCAATAAGCCATTGATTCTTTCATGGCATTGTCATTCATTCATTTCAAAAAGGGTCATTGCCTTTACAGATGCATGTTGGATAGAACCAGACAGTTCTTAGCACTTTCCAAAATGTCATCATATTTCTAGAGAACAGTAAATATAGGGAAAAGTACCTTATTTTCTCTATTTATATATGTGGAGAAGACCGGAAGCTTTAAACTGGACACTCACAATGCTAACCACTTTTACAGTAAAAATGCCACTGTGACACTGATGTAAGAGATGCCTACCTTTCTTTAGCTGCATAGTGTGTAGAGTTCATAATTTAAAACAGTATCTTAGAATATATTTCACTTCAAGAGACCAAACACTGCAACAGGTTTCTGAGACAGGTTTTGGAGTCTCCATCCCTGGAGACATTAAAAACCCAACTAAGCACAATCCTAAGCAACCTGCTGTAGCCTCATATATTCTCTGTGTTCTGCTGTGTGCAGTGTTGCCATTGTTTCTATCCTCTGCACCTTGAGAACAGCCCCTTACCATGACATGCCTTGGGTGTAACCTAAGTCAGTGCAAAGGAGCTTAGTCCCACCATCCATAAGCAGAGAACATGAGCCTTACCCCATGTGGCTGATTCATGAGTCCTCTACTATGAATTTGTTTTCTTTACATGTAGTGTTAACTCCTGTGGAAAGCTAGTTGACTCTCCCAAACCAGAAAATTATGCCATCATCAGATTGTTTCTAGTTTCCCCAGGAAGGCTAGTCACATTAAAATGTAAAATTCAATCTCAACAGATTTGTCATAACAAGCCTCAGGGCTGCTGATCTCAGGGAGTCTAGAAAGCTGGCTGGGTGAGCAGGACAGACTCAGCAACTTCTTGAGATGTTTATTCTCGATATGAACAGTAAAGTTCTTCATGCACTTCTACTCCTGTTTCATATTGAGTTCCTAATGAAGTTTTCCCTTGCTTATACATTGGTTCAGTGAAGGGATAAAATGTACTGAGATAGATGGGACCAGGATAACATCAAGAAAGGCACTTGATTCTTCCAATGAGCATGTAACAGAACTGCCTGACCTCTGTAGGTGGTTAGAAGAGCCACAAGAAAGAGCTACATATTCCCCTGACATGGTCAGAAGAGAGGGCTGGGTGATTCAGTATCCCTACTACAGTGGTCCTACACACAGAGCAGAAGGTTTCCTGACAGGATGGAATACTGGCTCCAGCAGCATGTCTGCTTTAGTCCCTCTCATTCAGCATTTCAGTCAACAAGAAGTGCAAGGCATCAGCTCTGCTAAGCAAAGGCAGGAGGAGGAGAGGAGAGGTGGCTTTGTGTGTGTGATAACCTTGTAGTCAGAGCACCTGCCTAGGTGGGCATGGAAACATTGATGAGCATGTACTGAGCCACAACCAAAGGGATGGACATGCTCTGCTCAGCTCTTCTACTCTGAAGGAAGGACCAACAGAGGATCTGAGCAGATTCATGGTAGTGGGAATATTTTAAACCATTATAGCCAGATTAGCTAAATATTTGTCTATCAGAGCCAAAGAGAAGGTAAGTTCTTAACAGTCCAAATTGTGGAACAGTCTCCCCTGGGAAATGGTGAAAATACAGTCTGAAAGATTTATAAATAGTCAATAAATATATTACTATGAACATATGGAGACAATGGATGGACTAGATGATTTATAGTCCTTCGTAAACCTGAATGTCCAATAGAAGAGTTATAGAGGTCCAATAGAACAGAAAGGAGCAAATTAGTACTATAATCAACTCTTTTTCCCCTTTTCTTGCACAGAGGAATGACAAAAGCTTTATCATTCCTATGGGAGAGCGTATTGAAAAGACTGACCCTTTCAAGATCACTTTGTTTAAGCACGACTGCATCCCGCAGCCAGAGCTTGCTCCCTCCACAACGTGGATCCAGCTTGGAGTCATCATCTTCTTCTTAATCGTTTTTGGGATATTCTCTGGGCTCCTGACTCAACTTAAAATATTCGTGTTAACTTCATTTTATCCTGACACTGAGATGAAACGGATACATTATTTACATGCAAAATTACTCAAGAAAAGATCAAAGTTACAAGAGAAAACTGGAAAGAATGTGTTTGCTAGAACGGTAAGCCATCAGCTCCAGGGAAAAAAAACAAAACCTTCCTCTCTCTGGTGGTAACCAGATGCAGGAAATACTTAAACATTTGCTAACTTCAATTATGTGCTAATAGACTTTCCCCAGTGCTCTCCTGCACAGGGGCCAGAGACAAATGTCTGTTGGTAAGATTAGATCATATAATTGTTTTATTCCATCCTTCAACACAAATGTATCAGACTTGACATGGGTACACCCAAATCACTACGTGCTGATAAGAAAATATTCCTCAGACATAGAGCTCTCCAGAGAAGAATCTTGGTTTTAATGGACATATAAAAAGCAGCTGCAGCA